CGTCGGACCCCCTTCGCGCTTCGGGGGAGCGAGGGGTGCGCTGGCTTGGTGTTGTGGCCATCGAGGGGATGGGGCGGACCCCCTTCATCCTCCACACCACAAAGGGGGTCCGGCGTTCCCCCGCCGCACATAGGGGGTCCGGCGTTCCGGGAACGCCGGACCCCCTTTGCGCTGTGGCCATCGAGGGTTAGGGACGGACCCACTTCTTCCCCCGCAGCTCAAAGGGGGTCCGGCGTTCCCGGAACGCCGGATCACCTTGGTGCTGTTGCCGGCGACGGGGAGGGAGGGGGCCCCTTACTCTCTCGCAGCACCGACATGGGTCCGGCGTTCCGGGAACGCCGGACCCCCCTCGGTGCTGCTAGAGGGAGGGGGAGGGACGAACATGAAACGCCGCGGGGTTCCGTCGAGGACGCGGGCGAGGGAGGGGTCCGGCCAACTACCGTGTCAATAGGCACGCTGGTGGGGTCTGCTATTTAGGGGACGCCAGACCCGCACACGCAACGGTCGTGGAACGCCGGACCCTCTGTGTGGGCCGGTAGCGAAACTCCCGTGCCGGATGAATGCTTCTTCATGTCACTTAGTGCTGTTTTCTTGTTGTCTTTTTCTGTGCGACCCTTCTGGAAAATCAGCGTCTGGCTCCGCCCCCGAAAAACGGTACGGCAGGTCTAAGCTCTACCACGACAAACCATGGGCTCTTGATTGGGTAGGTGACCTTCATATGCCGGGTTGCGGAGCCGTTGTCTTCTTGAGCGATGACAATGGCCTGAGTTGGTACTGCTGCGGAGGGGTGGAGAAATCGGAAGCGGGGAGGTTTACCTACGACGGCAGGAAGTTCAGGACATTCTTCCTTACGTCTGTCTATGACAGAGAGGGGAAAAACTGGGTCAAGGAAGACAAGAAGGTGTCTCTTGATCATCGGCTCTTCCAAGGGTACGGGGTCAAGGCTTTGTCTATGAAAGAGTTTGACGTGCGCGGGAACGGAACGGAGTTCCAAATGCTGGATCCGGAAAAATTTCTTTCCAAAACCGATGGCTACTGCGTCACTGGGTCCCTGCCTGTCGTTGACAGCGCTTTCATGCTCAGCAGACCTTTGGTCCAATTCAACAGCCCGACGGACCAACTCGCAGCTTTCGTTATGCGATACAGGGAAGAGTTCGCGAGGCTGCCTGCTGCCCAGCAAGTTCACCGTGTTTTCGTGCCGATTGACGCCCCGTCTTTGTCGGCTGCAGGGGCCAAATGGCGCCAGGATCAGCCGGCCGGAGCGGGTGGAAAGAGGAAGCAATTGGCGACTGCCCCGCCTTCGTCGGCTGCGGTTGTCCAGGCTCTGCCCGCTCCAGTTCCGCCCTCGGATCGGCAAGCTCGCGATGCGGCCGAGCAGTACAGCGAGGCCACAGACTACGACAACGGAGCTGTGCCCTATCGGGCTGGTCCGCAGCATCGTTCCCGGGGCGGTGCAGGTGCCTTCGATGACGAGGAATGCGAGGGCCAAGATGGGGAGGGCGGTGGTTGGGATGGGGAGGGCGGTGGTGAGGAGGGGGAGGGCGGTGGTGAGGAGGAGGAGGGCGGTGGTGAGGGGGACGACGGTAACGAAGGAGATGCTGAAGGTGAGGACGATGGCATGGACGAGGAGAGAGACGATGTTGGTGAGGAAGTCGAAGACAATCGCTCCTCCCAATTTCACCGTCGCCACCAGAACGAATCGCGGGGGCGCTGTGAGGATGACGCCTGCTGCGCCGGTGACGCGGTCGATGCTGGTGGCCAACCTGCAGCCTCCCGCGGAATATCGCAGTCCTATGACCATGCCATGCGACAAGGAGACGAACCTGGCTCACGGGGAAAGCGAAAGAGGGGAGAGGCGTCGACCTCTCCTGCGAGTCGAACAAAACAGGCGAGGGCCGACGCCGTCAATGAAGCTCGCGGAGCGTTGATGGCATCACAGGAAGCGTGGGCTCCTCGGAAAACTGGTGGGGGGGGCCGAAGTGGCAGTCGCGGGGGCAGTCGCAACGGCGGTAGGAAAGGCTCGCAGAGGTCCAGGGCACCTGAGCTGCGGGACTCGGGGGATGAGGGCGAGGGGGTGGGGCCTCGCATGCCCGAAGATATTGAAGAGTTGGTTCAGCACGCCACACCCGTGGACACGACACGATGTTTCTTCCTTGAATACGACGAACAGGGCTTCGCCAGGCAAGACGTCCAAGTTGTTAACGTCGACGTTAATAGGATCAAACCCATTCCCCGTGGGAAGATCCTTTTTAACCAGCGTTCGTTGTTTGAGAACATTGTGAGAGGCATCGAGAGTGCCATAGAAAGCTCCATCAGTGCTGACCCGGGGGTGTGGGATAGACTTGAGCTCGTTCTTACGCCGGTTGACCCTAACGTCATCGTCGGTGGGCAGGGAAGGCGAATCATGCTGGACGAGTTCTTCCAAAGAGATTGTGCAGAGTTCGACTCATACGCTGTCTGCGGTCAGCATACTGCCGAGGCTATGAAACGGTTGGTTGGAAAGGACTCCCTCGCGGTCAAAGTCTACGGCCTCCGCACATACGCTAAAGTGCGAGTCGATTTTTTCGATGATGACCACACATGCGGGTACTTCAATGTCTCCCTCTTCGACAACACACGAGAGAATCGCGCCATGATGTTATCCTTCCAGGACGCTGTGCGTGATATGCGGCAATGGTGAATCGACAACAATAGGATCGAGGCACCCAAAGTTAAGGTCAGCGAGAAGGATGTCGTCGCTGTTGCGCATCAGAAAACGTGGCAGAACTTCCTGAGGGCCTGGATGGGGAAGGCGTGCGACAAGGCGTTCATGAAACAGACACTCGATAATGAATACAACAAGGATTGGAGTAACAAACTTCGGGGGTACCTGAACCTCGCCACGTCCACCCGCACGGTTTGACCGCTGGTGGAGAAGTTCTTCGCGATGTTCGAGGAGGGTAAGCTGCCAATCGGCGACGGCAAGATCCCGCTTGAGATGCCGGGGAGGATGGAGGGGCGCTTGCCAGACCCGTACACTGACGAGAACAAGGGACAACGGACTTTGTACCACTGCATATATGCGAGAGATGGTCCCAAGGGCTCCACCGTGTCCAGGAAGGATTTGTGTCCTACGTACTTCAAGAACTTCGGGGACATGACATGCTGCGAGACGGTGAATATGGTCCGCATGTTCACCGACAAAAGTGAGAGTCACGCCTCAGAGGGTGAACACAGAGTGCCTCCTCGACATTATGTGCAAGGAGAGATACATGGTCCGCATGTTCAACTACGTCGTGTTTCGCGCCGAGGGAAGGGCAGGGGACGAATGGAACGACGACTTCTTCATGTCGTACAAGGACCTAGAAGACAGGGATGCTTCAAACGGGTTATGTGCAGATGAATGGGAGAAGCAACGGGAGAAGCTGCATAGCAACTTAGTGAAGACGATCCCTCGGCGACTTGGAGGAGTGGAGGAGGCGAGGCAAGGTGCGGGCTTGGGGCTTACATAAGTTATGTACAAGGAGGCTCCGTTTCACTTCAAGGTCTTTATGTACACCACAATCGATAAGCTCGATATGCTTTGAGCGGAGGTGAAACAAATCGCCTCCAGTGCACACCATCTTGTGTGGGACAAACTCCACAGGCAGACCACATTGCTTCCTGTATGCATGCGGTCAAAGGAGGTTATGGCGGCGCCCGTCGACATCATCGCAGCCGCACAAAAAATGACATGCAGGGCCGCCATCGTGGACATCTCGGCCGCGAATTTCAAGAGTGCATGGACCTCGCAGGACTTCGATGCACTGTACGCAATGATGGCGAAGTGTTGTGGTCCAAATTGGGTCCTCTTCTTTTTTGCACCGCAGAATGTGCAAAGCGATGTCTTGCGTCAATTGTACCGTTGGGAGGACATCAAGCTCATCCCCGGGTCATGGAAACGCGTGGATAGGCCGCCGAGCGACGTCACAAAGTACGGCAACATCGCTACGAGCAGTCGGGACCTGATGGCGATCGTGCTGCACGCTGAAGGAGGGGATCTGAAAAAAGTAACTGTCGCACCCCGACTTGAGAACGATCTCACCGAAGTGCATGTTGTGGAGGAAAAGTTCGGGAAGTGTCTCGGAAAACACGGTGGCGTCGAAGGCGACGAAAGTGCCGCATATTCAATTTGGGAGCGAGAACCTGGCAAGTTGTGGAAGTTGTGCAGTTCATTCGTAGGAGAGGCGGAAGGTGTGCTTTTGCTGGGTAGGGCGCACGCGGGTCTTGTATGAAAGTTATTGCTTGCAGGTAATAATGTCATTGTCTGTGACGAGTCGGCCAAGGACATTGCATACTTGACAAAGTTCGTCAACATACTTGTTAAGGATGGGAGATTTGAGTGCCGCCTCGAGAAGCTGCGTGCCACACATCGCACGAACAGGGATATGTACCACAAGTTGGGACCGAAAAGACTGAAGGTGTGGGAATACCTGTTCCACGATGCGCCGGATGGACGCCTTGATGGGGGATACATATATAGGAAAGCCAAGGTGACCGAGACCCTCAAACATTATCACGGTGCTCTAACTGGCGCCTTCGAGACATTCGTTGCTCAATGCGAGATCTTGAGGTTTGATCTTCACAAAGATAAACTGACGTTTAAGGACTATGCAGACCTCGTTAAATCGGGTGAAGGCTTTAACCCTCGTTGACAGCGAGGAAGACTCGTCGGACTCCGACCTCGAGATCGAAAAGGACACCAATGCAACCGAGTGGTGTGGGAAGTCCGCTGCCATGGAGCAAAGCGTCAAGGGATATGGACCGGGTCAATCAGAGGGATGCTCGAACCTGCTACCCGCGAACAGTGTGGCCTCGGGTGTGGACCGGGTTGTATGTACGCCTATGGAAGATGACGAAGACGATGACCTTGATATTCCTGCTCAGCCAACGAAGCTGACGCCAGGCGATCCGATTCCTCCCAAATTTTGTGCGGATCCAAACAATGTGTATTTCTTGGATGACAAATACACCTGCACTAGTGAGGAAAAGTAGGGCCATGATATCATTTGGCATGACGGTATTTTCGAGCCATGTATCCAAGGCGGGGAGTGGAAAATGGCGGTGAAGTATGTCTCGAAGGGCTGGAGACCGTTTGCCCGCATGGGAAAGGACAACTGGCTGAAGACGACGGAGCAATCAAATACTATACCGCTGTCAGAAAGAGAACCCCGGGGAGAGTGAAACATCCATCGCGGCAAAGGCGAAACAATTGTTCGACATTTTGGGAGCCACTCGGCAGTTAGAGTACTCACACAAGTTTTACGAGCTGCAGTCGAGCCCCTCGTACGGCAAGATTGACTGGAAGGTTGAGCGCGCCGCCTCGCTCGAGAGCATGGACGTGGACTCCCGAGAAGATGTCGCCGCTGTGCCCGAGGCGGCCACAGGGAACATGATGGGTGAACAAAGGGAAGATGGCGGGACGACGCTGGGTGTGACGCCTCCGTTGCCAGAGACGGGGAACACGCCCGCAGGCAAAAACACCATCGGAGCCATCTCTGTCGCAATGGGGGATACATCACAAGGTGAAAAAGTGTCACTCCACAAGCCGACGGATGCGGGCGCCACATACGGGAGTCTCCTCGCAACAGGTGCGACGCTGGCAGGCACATCGGAGATGGTGTCAGAGTCCACTGTTGGGATGGGCGTCACGGGGATGTCGTTGCATCCGCCCACATGCACTAGCAAAGGTGACGCACACTGTACAACAACACCACCGGGAGGGGTTACAGGGGATGACGGGAATGGGGGAAATGCAGGGGGGTCTCCACGTTCTCGCAATATTGAGGACATGACGACGGACGATGAGGACGGGGTAGAAGGCGGAAAGGGCGTGAGCGATCCCATAGGTGTAGAAAATGAGGGGTGAGATAGGGAATGAACTTGAGGGGAATCCTCTTCGCGGGAAAATTTAATGTTTTCGTGTGTGTGCCCATTTGTTTGAAATCTGGGTTTGTGGGCGGAATTTGTTCCTGTGTACAATCGACCTGCAGACTCATTAGTGTTCAGTTTCCGGGATTTGGCCTTTTAATTAGTGACAAGAAAATTGTGTGGTGAACAAGAGTGTGTCGTAGTATGCGTGTGTGTCTCTCTATATTCGTCAATATGCTGCGTTGTGTATATGCATGTATGTCGTTGGGGTACGGTGATGAAAGGGGGCAGGAGTCAAGATTGATTGATCTCGAAGTGTTGTCGTCCATCTAAGTGTAAGTTTAGCGAAACAATGATGACGTATCTTGAATACATCATTTCCGTTTAGCATGTTATGCTAAGGCACTTGCCCATGTACAAGTATCTCAAATGGTCGCCCTCCCCGTTTTTTACACCGCCTGCCCACCCGTTTCTTACTTTCCTGTGAGGGCGACCATTTTTTACACCCCTGCCCACCTCGGTCACCGTTGTTTACACCGCCGTCGATGTCGTATTCGTCGTGCTTGTCGTGTGCAGTGCAAATTACAACAACGGATACAAGAAAGTGCAAAAGAGGGTGGACAATGCGCCTCGCAACATCGTCTTTATCAGAGAAGGAGATGAAAGCACTTTCACATGTATGCCGGGAGTACGGGAAAAGGTTCCCAATAGCGAGCACACACAACATGGGACGAACGAAGTATTGAAGTTAACTCCAGACAAATTTATTTTACTTGTCGACGAGAGGAACTGGGTAAATGACAACGTCGTCAACTTCTACCTGAACCTCATCGCACTAGACAACTGGTGTAGAATCACACACGTAGAATGCGACGCCAAGAACAAAACCATGATTAGAATCGGAAAGGGTCGCATTCCTAGAATATCAGTGCTGAGCTTGTTTTTCTTCGCCAGACTTTTCGACAGCGAAATGAGATATCAAGAGCGAGAAGTGCAGCACTGGTCGAATGACATTATAATAAGTGACATGGACCTGATAATTGCCCCTTTTCATATCGCACACACGAACCACTGGACCCTCGTTGTGGCTGACTTCAGGAGGAGGAAATTTGAATTTTACGACTCCCTCAACCCCGACAAAGAACTGGCAGCCAAAGTGACCGGCGGATTTGCAAAATTTTTGTTTAAAAGATCGATTCAGCAAGGCAAAGAGGTGGATACGAAACCGTTTAATCACATATGGACCATAGAGGGCGTTCCGAAACAACGTGACACTAGCTCGTGTGGGGTCTTCATGCTCGTATACGCATCGCTATTGGCAAGGGGTCACCTTCCGCCTTTCTCTTCCACCGCTGATGACATACCCGCAATACGTCGTCGAATGGCTTTGGACACAACGGCTCGCGAGTAGTATGAACCTGCTGCTGGATATTTTGATTACATGCGGATGGATGTGGGTAACATTAAATTGTTTGTCATGGAAACAGTGTATAAAAGATGGCAACAATTGCTCCAAGTTCCTGGCCCTTACCCCTTGTCATTTACCCCTTATCCCTTACCCCCAAACCCCTTACCCCTTACCCCTTACCCTTACCCTTGCATGTATACCCATACCCCAAATTCAAATGCATTTTTGACCCTAAATCACCACGGAAATGACAATTTAAATTTCGTTCAAAAAATATAAAATGTCCGTTTTGACGAAATCGCTATTATTGTTAGATATTCGTAGTGGATGTTGTTGGACAGCTATTAAGAGTGGGATGGTGGAAGATCCTACATACCAGATAGGTGAGCAGGCTCATGGAGGCCATCTCCATTCGAGGCGTTTTCTCAATGTTTTTTTTTTTTTTATACAAAAACAACCCCGGTTGCTGCTAGCGGTGCTGATAAGAGCAGGCACCACTAGCACCATCGGGGAGGCTCCATCTATTGGTGGGGAGCAGCACCTGCTGGAAACCGGGTCCAGCGTCCCAATTCTCAATGCTGCTGGGGTCAGGGGTCAATAATTGGTCCGAAGGCGGTAAGTTGGATCAAAGACATTACCATTGGATGGACACACAATGAATCTATTGCTAGAACTCTACAGAGCAGCTAAAGTTTTCAAAGATTTTAAATTGGAGGAGTGATAGCTGAAGAAAGCAGACTGCAAATGCACGGCCCAACGATTCGAAAGGTTTCTTGAATCGGCTTCCACAAGTCTCCTACCCGCCGCCTATACAAGTTATCACTACTGATTACTCGATCACCCAACTCCCGCTCCTTAGACAACTACTATCCAGTGGGTTGAATCACACTCCCTTTAAGTTAGATAAACTAAATGTGGAGGCGGCGATGAAGGAGGTGTTTAATCTGTGGGGGCAGACGGAAGAGCTGATAGACGAAGAGCACGAGGTGAAACACCAACAATTGGAACTAATAAGAAAAAGACTGAGGGATTACTGCATGCCTAGATTCATAGATTACAGGGATAAACATCGCTCATAGTTGAAGTACGTAGATCTGAGAGCTTTTCACCTGGTACATGTATGGATAAAGCCTCCAACACGGTGGTAATAATCTCTAAGGATTTCGTGAGGCAACTGGGACTGAACAGATTGAACAGTGTTGATCTTAAACCTTTGAGGCCTGATGCAAGGGAAATGGAATGGTTACAACTATTAAGAATGATGAGAACATAAATAACTACCCCCTTGGACCACCTAAGATCCCCTGCTTGATGGCCAATTACAAAAGCCACAAGAAATCACTTAGATGGATTACGGATGCTAATCAATGTCTTATATTGTCTATTATCCCCTGTTGCTGTGATGTGTGCCCTTGCCTTGAAACTTGCAAGTGAAGAGGCGCAGGTTCACTATGTCAAAATTACGAAATGTGTTAGGATCCAATATATATATATATATACCTCTTCTCTCTCTCTGCCTACGGTTTACCGGGCAGTTCTGTTTGTGACGATATATATATGTGTTAGGAACCTCCACAACGTAAACGGTTTTTTTTTTTTTTTTTTTTTTTTTTTTTTTTTTTTTTTTTTTTTTTTGGTGGTCTGTGGATTCCGTAAACGGCTACTGCCTGAACATCCCGCAGAAAGTGCACTCTATTTGTTTGGCAGATATCAGTCGTTGCTTTGAAACGATCCCTATGGAAAGCTCTGAGCATGGGTTGATAACCGCTCTTGCATTTGCAATAAAAAAAAGGCTTCAGGAAAAGGAAAGAAGATATTAATCGATAGGAATATGTAAGGATCAGGAAAATAAATCATGGGAAATACAAGGCAAGATGGACTGGCGAAGTTCAAGACTCAGAGAATGAATGTACCACCCGCCAAAACCAGCTGATTAAAATGAACAGATGGCTAGCCAATAGGAACTTCATACAGTTTGGGGGAAGCCCAGGAAGGGTATGGAGGCGGAAAAATGTAATTCCTATGGGCCTCCCGTGCTCCCCTATTTGGTGCAACTTGTTTTTCTTCAAATATGAATTCAACTGCATGATGCGCCTTCTGGAATCTGGTAATAAACATCTGATACCCCCCTTCCAGCACACATTCAGGTATATGGATAACCTAAATGGACTGGACAATGAGATCATCGAGGACTTTCTCAGTCAAAATCGTCCCCGGGATAGCCATTCCTCATTGATCAAAAACCCTTTTTTTTTTTTTTTTTACAAAACAGTACATCATTGAAAGTGACACCATTGTGCTGGAAACCGGGTCCAGCATCCCATATCCAATCTACTCTTCCGTACCTATCCTGCAGCAGGGTCGGGTATTGGGGGGAGAAACACCGTGGGGAACCAGTGGAGTCTCCCTCCATCCCCTAACCCCTACCATCCACCTACTATCCTCATGGTGCCTATTGTGTCTTTACTGAACATTAGACTCTTTCTTGAGAATGTACTGAGAAATCAGTGCTGAGAATCGGGCTCAGCATCCCATAAGATAACAAACAGATAGTCAGGCCCCGTCCGGGCATCCTTTAACCGAATCATTTAACTGATAGTGTAGTGCATAATCCCTTTTGAAGTTGACCCCCTGCTTCTCCTGCTGAGTCATGTCGCCCGACCAGCACACCTTTGCCAACCATCCCTCCCTTTTTCCCCCGAGCCATTCCTCACAGAAACGGGAAATGATCCTATCAATATCTACCTTAGTATGCGCCAGGTTTAGATTGTCCTTCATACTCTGCCATTGTGTAGTAATCTCGCACTGCACCAGTAGGCGCAATTGCTCCATAGATTCCCCCTCTTCCACCCTGGCCCCTTCCAATTCCAAAATGCATCTTCTCCACCATATCACCCACAGGATGGAACGCCTACCCAAGGCAAACATATTCCTCAGAAACGTATTCCCCTAAGACTGGGGGAAGTGGCCCAGTAATATGATCCTGCAGTCCCAGGGCCAGCGTTTTGGCAGGGAAATTCGAGAGGCACCCTCGGCACCAGGGGAACGCCTTCCCTTGTTGCTCCAACCGTGTATGATCGATCAGCCAATCATTGGTAGGCAGGCACCGTTGGGCAATTTGCCATTGTAGGGCAGAAATTTTGGCGGGCGTTTTTCGATATTCCTTAAACCACTGGATAGGCTGGAGTAGGCCTCTATCAATATTGAGGTGACGATGCCACCTGTCCTCTACCACATCTCTAAGCCCACGTCTCGGTCTAAGCATGCGATACACCGATTTGGTCTTCAAGTTAGCTAACGCTACTGATACCGTCCTTCCTTTCCTTCCCGATACTCGTGGACCTTTTCGCGTCCAAGTTCACTCCTCAGGGTCAAAGGGGAGGTCTTCAATCGGAGTCATTGGCCGGTATGCTCGCCATCCATTTGCCTCTTCTAACACTCTGATGCAATAGACTTCCTTTTTCTCCTTCCAGATGAACGGGAGTCGGCTCCCCCGTAGCTGGCCATTCTTGGAGGGGGAAAATAACTCAATTAGCACTTGTACGTGATCGACTAGGTGTACCCTGCCTACCTGAGTGCCATGACCTGGTAGACCGACCCAGTCCCCCTCCTCGAGG